AAAAAAAAAAAAAAAAAAGAGAGAGAGAGAGGAACTGAGTTCTGGGTGGTAGCTCCTGATCCAGGCTCATGTGCTTGCTGTCTCTGAGGCTGGCTCTAAAGATCTCCTTGAACCCTATCCCTTGCATTTGGCCATGAACAGCCCTCAGGTCCCAGAGTGCTATGTTCTGTTCCTGGGACATGACTCCTTCACAGCTGTGGAAGCCCCAGGTCCACACTTACCTCTCCTTGCCCAGATATCCACCCAACTCTGGAGTTCCAGGCTCCCTTCCTCTCCCCGGAGCCCACCCGGTTCTCTCAGGAGCTCCCCTCTAGATCCCTCAACACCCACCTCCAATCCCTACGAGCCTCCCAAAGCCAGAAACCTTGGCATCATCTTTGTCCCTGAGCTATTTTTTCCTCCTGTGTGTCCAAGTCATTATTACCGCTCCGTCTCCTCCGCCTGCATTTCTGGAAGTCTGCCGCCCATTCATCCCTCACCCTTCGCCTCTGCCAAAACCCTCACGCAGACACTCTTTCCCTCACCACCAGGCGCCCCCCCACTCCTCCGTGAGTACAAGTGGCCCTTGGACATTCCCACCCTGTTCACCCGGGGGCCCCCAACCCAGCTAATCTGCTCCAAAGACTGGCATCTTCTACCCCACCCCAGCGCCACGCTCTGCCCTGCCACCTACTTACTGCCCATGTCTCCCTTATCCTCTACCTGCTGGGGCCTGTCGCAGCTCTTCAGAATCTCCAATCGCACAAACACTTGAGTTTTGCTTTTTTTTTTTAACCTGCCAAAACTGATAAAGCCTACCTTAGTCCAAACACCAGGCTAAGCACATAACATCAATTGGCTAATTTAACCAACCAAAAGAGGCATTGATTTCCACGCATACAAAGGAGGAAACTGGTGCTGGGAATGGCTACTGGCTTGTCCAAGATGACACAGCTGATAAATAGAGGCAGGATTGAAACCTGGATCGTTTTCCACCTGAGCCCAAGCTTTTAAGGTGACACCACCTTGCCTCCACCCCGGGCTCGTACACCTGGAGCCCTCTTCACAATTGAATCATGACCTTCCTAACCCCACCATCACCACCAAAGTAGCTCTGGGGCATCTTCCCAAACGCCCTCTTCCCTGCCTGCTAGCCCACTGTTTAATTCCTTGGAAGTGTGGAGTTACCAGAACTTTCTGCCCCCGCCAATCCTCTTGGCCCAGTGAAAGGAGGGAAGCTGTTTCCAGCGCAGCCCCTGATTCACTGTGTGTCACTTCCCTACCCCACGATCAAAGCTCGCTCCCTCCTGAGAACACTGCTAAGCCTACTCACCCATCTCTTGGGTCTGGGGAGGAAAATCATCTCTGGAAAACCCTGCAGAGAGAGTCCAAAGAGATTCCGGCAGGGAAATGTTTGCCCAGACACACGCCCCATGCAAGGGACGGCAGTCTGCGGGACTCCCAGGGCAAATGCATTGCTTTCCCATGTCTTGCTGGAATAATGTTGGCAGCCAGAGGTCTACAAGAACCTGAACTGTTTGATAAATAAGGACCAAAAACAAGGGCCTCATTTCGGCCCC